ATTTTCATTTGTGTTTGGTCTTTGTGATTAATATTTTCTGCAATATTGAAAAGCGTAAAAAAAGCATTTGAACAAAAAAGAACTTTCGACATTTGCAGCGTACTTGTTGTACAGATATGTTCTACAAATTTTTCTATGTTTATTACGCAAAATATAGATGGTAAAACATTTGATGTGATTTCACTAAAGAGAGGAGAATTGAACAAAAGGTAAAAACTGTTTTTCAGGTACGTTTGTTTTTTCTGCCATATCGTGTACCTTTTCCAAACATCTTTGTACTCGCAACGCCTTGAAATGAAATCATTTGTTCTGTTTTTATTATTATTAGTTATGTCCTTTGATTTCTGTTTCATACTCATTTCCTTCCGGGTCCCAGCCAGAGATCTGAGGTCAGAAATTGCACCATTAAATGATAAAGTTCTTTGTAATGTGTGTGCTGTACTTGTGAGTAGAATTTTTTGTATTTCTTTAAGGCGTGGGTTTCCAGGTATCCTTTGAGTCTATCAAAAACTTTTCCAATAAATCTGACGGTTCCAACTACGACTGGAATTATTGAGGACATCTGCCAATTTTTTGAGATTTACATTTCAAGAACCTTGTAATTTTATAGTTTTTTGAAGTTCTTCAAAGATATATTACAGTCTGAAGGGACAGTCATGTCAATAAAAAGGTGCATTCTGATTTTGTGATCTCTGTGAATCAGTGATTAAATTAGAGAATATCACGCCAACAAATGGATGCCAGGGCACAAACATACGTTTCCCAGTTTACCCATCATGACCTATCCAGTCTATATAAGGATATACCTGTCGATACTTGAGTTTGAACATAGATCGCCAGTGAGCAAACACAGGCGATCCCATTATTGAATTAAGTAGGCCATATGACCATAGAGGAAACGCATAAGTAAAAAGTCGCGAGCTGTCTAATTGATCTGCATTCTAGTTTATCATCTATTACTATCGCTATTCTCTACTCTATTCAATAAACTATTTCTCTGTTCGGATCAGTATACAGATAACTATTTGAGCGAGTATTATCAAGCAAGTACCATTACTGCGAGTGCTATTCGAAGGTGTCTGACAACAGCATTGTTCAACGGTGTACTATAAGTTCTATCTACGATTACAAAGTCTCTGCTACAACGATCATTACAAAAGTGACAACGAATATTCGTTGGCATCACAAAAGTAGCAACGAGTGTTCGTTGACATCACAAAACCTTGGTTGCTTCATCCTTTCATTCAAACCTTTAAAAATCCCTCTCGGCCATAATACACCTCAACTACATTCATAAGCAGAGATGCACAATGCGTTATACACATAAGGATATGCTCAACTGATTATGGTCAGGCAACCAACAAGTAAATATGTTGTACTGAACGGGATATTATTATTATTATTATTTGACTCTATTAATACATAACTGGTCGAAGTGACTGACACATCTTATAAAGCTAGCTTTCTTGTTGTAAAGATTACTATCTTGTGAAACACAAGTTTTCTTAGCAAAGATGTTTTAAGACAAAATATAAGAAGCAATTGATGTGTAAAGACTATAAAGTTTTCTCTTTCGTTTTATTAATGCTAACGCCTTGCAAGCATTAAATACTCCCACAAAATGGATATAAAATATAAACGTCATGGAAACGCAATATTGATTTCAAATAAACAAAGAAAAACTCATTTACCAATACCAAAGCTGAACGCACATGTTACAGTAAGAAATTCTTACCTGTAGTCATGCCTTTTCTTTATCAGAAAGATTTATTTTCTCTTTCTTTTTCTTTGCCATATCTTAATGTTTGAAAGAAAGAAAACGAAAAAAATCGTGTATTTTGATAAAAATATTATAGACATATATGGAATTTTTCGGAGATATGACGAGAAGGATGTAATAGATTCAATAACGCGGCAGGGCAAAAATAATAATTATGTATGGCGGGCTCAAAAGTACATAAATGATACACGTGATTGAGTGAAAGTAGTGAACATAAACTAGTCATGAGATTTAAGTATATGTTATAATTACGTGGTTTTGACTATGAAAAGCATATATAAATCGACCGGAAGGCCAAACTAACTAAACCCTACTCCAGGGTTACGTCCTATATGACAGGCAGCATCCCTCACCAATTGTACTAAAAGGAAGCATGCCAAAAGAACGGGACAATTTTTTCTAGCAATCCAGTGTGTACGTGGTTATTGCTTTAACCCCAGCCGTTTGAGTGAACGCGACTAACAAATCTCTAGAGAGCAACATTCCATCTCTTTCCTGCCTTTCCGCTCAGTTTGATTTGGTCAGAGGGAAAGTAGATAACAAAGAATTCTTCTCGGACGACTGTAGAAGAAACTGCATTCTGAATCATAACCGAAGCGAAGTAATACGTTGTTTTTGTTTTTTGTTGTTTTTGTTGTTTTTGTTTTGTTTTGTTTTTTTGTTTTTTGTTGTTCTTATTGTTTTTTTGTTGTTTCTTTTTTTTGTTTTTTTCTTAAACTTAGGGCCATATCATGTTGAAACACCGGTTATCGTAGGATTGCCGAAGTTAAGCAAAGTCTAGTCTGGTCAGTACTAGGATCCGTGACCATTTTAGAATACTAGATGCTGTAAGCTTGGATATGTGGGTGGTGTAATAGATAACGACCCGAAGTTGGAGTTCTAATTACGGTTGGGATCATTATATTCATGTACGGGCAAGGGAAAGATATGAAGACACCTCATCACCCTTAGTTATAGGTTAAGTACTAGAACTTCTGTCAGTAAACCTTTTTTAACTCAAAAACATTTCTTACAATCTAAAACATTACAATATTTTCTGGCTTGAAATAACGCGCTGTTTATAAGCCGTAAAAAACATGTCAATAAAAAAATGTTGTTTTGATTTTTTTTATGTTCATATTAATCCCAAAATGCAGTTCAGATCTTTTGAGCCAACTTTCACCTTTCTCAAATTTTAAACGTGCGAAATTGGCATTCATGACTAGGTTCAGTCAATTCCTAATAATGTATGTATGTATTCGAGGATACCCGTCTACTAGGGCGGCTGGCCAATCCCTGTTGCAGACGTTTATTCAACACCCACAGAGCCCACCTGTGGTTTATACTGCAACTATGCTGAGCTGACTTTAGTTACAGTTTCTGGGAAAGAGCGCGTTATCTAGCGTGAACAACAATTTGAACAATGCCAGCAAGCTCAAGCCCTCGGCCACGATGAGTAGTCACTTCGTGCTAGCACAGCTATCGACGGCCCCCAAGGGGTCCATCTACCCAATTTCACTCACAAGGCTTGGATCAACCCGTGGTATGGTTTTCGGGTACTTTCCAACGCTGGGATCGACCTCTCCAGTCCGATAACATCAGGAAATCTCCTTACGAATCGACCATGGTGAGATTCGACCCTGAGTCTTATGGTCAGAATGCGAACGTTCTAACCACTCGGCCAAAATAGACATTTAGATAAGCACCAACTTCTGCGACCTTTCGGCTCTGTCTTCTTCTATTTCAGGACGTTGGCGATCATGACTTTCCACAATTACCTGGCGCTAATAAAAAAAAAAGTGTATTTTCTATATACTACTAATAGGTTGGAAGATTATTAACCAAAGAAAGAAATATAAAATCCTATAAAAAATATTTTATTTCCAAAACTAAGTGTTTTCTAAATACTGGGTGTCACACACACACACACACACACGCAAAAAAATTGACATCATTTAAAATCTGAATATCTGAGTAATTACATGTCCCAAGCAAACGAAATTAAATAGGCTTCATGTTGAACAATAAAAGATTTATTTATCAAAATTCGAACCAGGCATTCAAAGGGATGTATATTTTATAACCGATTTCACAAAGTTTCACAAATGTTTAATATACGCACCATCTGTGACACAACATATGTCATGTTGGTATTTTAGCTCCTGCCAAACATGCTGTAGCATGTCTTGCGTAACATTCTCCAGCGCAGTGATTCTCTGCTTAAGTTCATCTAGGTTTGTAGGAAGAGGGGGATATAGACCCGTCCTTTCAAATAGCCCCATAGAAAAAATCACAAGCTGTCACGTCAGGTGAACGTGGTGGCCATTTTAGCAACATAATGTCATTATCAGTGGCACGCCCGATCTTTCATCCTGATAGATTGAGATAAGTCCGCACAGTCAACTTAGTTTTTACACATTTTGTTAAAATTTGAGATCATTTGATTGATAATTGACTATGTTATTAAACTACAGAATGATGTCAATTTTTTTTTGGTGGGGGGGGGACATCCTGTATATACACAAGATTTTGTTAACAGCGTCTCTGCTACATAAATGAACTTTTTTGAACATTTTTGAACTATCAATGAATGTTTAAATGAAAACACTTTCCTTAAACTTAAAGTTTATATTATAATCTACAGTTAGCACTCTGAATGATTTCAACACAATGTCAGATTTTGTTAAGCAAGTCAATATTTTCCCAATAAAATTTATATTAACCGACTAATGTTAGTACAATCATCGAGCAAATATATACCTTGTCAAATTCAGTTTCTAATGTCTTTTTTATTAGGCATAATTACAATAACTTACTTGGTGGGGGTGAGACTTTATTACGCATCGCAGTGGTTGTTCGTCATTTTCCTATTTGATTCTGTCATAACCTTCCCTTATGGCATCTCGACGTGGTGTAATGGTTAACAAGATTGTCTCGTTAGCATCACTTATGGCACCTCGGCGTCGTGTTAGCACAATTACGATTGACTGGCTGTTTCACATTTTCGACGTTGTGCCGCATCTAGACTACGCTTAGGAAATAATTTTGGACACTTCAACAGTGGTGTAATGCTTAGCGAGCTTATCTAGCTCGATCAATTACGACCGAAAAGTGAGTTCGATCCTCACTGGGTGCCCAATACTTTCGTCCTTATACAGCATCTTAGCTCCGCTTAGAAAATCGCCACAACCTTGCATTTGGGTTGATTCATGAATTATGATATACTGCTTATTTTCAGTTTACACCCATATCGCATTGAAACACCGGTTTCCGTACGATCACTGAAGTTAAGGAACGTCGGGCCTGGTCAGTACTAAGACGAATGACCGTTTTGGAAAACCAGGTGCTTTAAGCTTGGATATGCGGGCGGTGTAAAAGATAACAGCTCGGAATAGTAAATCAGAGAGCCGAGTTCCAATTCCAGTCACCTCCGTTATATTTACTTACGTGCAAATAGCCTTGGAAAATGAATGAATCTATCCCTTCCACCACTCGTATATGTATTAATTATGGATCAATTAATAATATTAGTATCAGGAAATCATTATTATGTCAAACAAATTCTTACAATCTAATATTTTCTGGGTTGAAATAACGTACAAAAGGTTGATAAGACGTAATATATATATATATAAAAGGGAACATAGAAGTCAATACTTAGAGGCGACAGTCTGTTTCATGCTATATACAATCGTGGCCTGACGATTGCATATAGCATGAAACAGACTGTCGCCTAAGTGTTGACTTCTATGTTCACTTTTATATTTACACACGCTCTATCTCTGATATTGAGCACTTTATCCCATAAATATAGCACATCTTAACACTATATTTCTTCATATATATATATATATATATATATATATATATATATATATATATATATATATATATATATAAAATATATGGTTGTTTTGATTTATGCTCTGATTACTCCCAAAATAGAGCATATTTTAAGCATTAACCGAACGTAAAGCTTAAACTTTCTCAAATTTTAAACATGAAATTAAACCCAAACATGAGAATTTAGTAAGCATGACCAACTTATATATATATAAGGTCAGCTGAAATTTCTAGGGCACATAATGATGGAAAATCTGATACTTACAGGACAGATTGAAGACAAGAGGGTCAGAGAAAAACAATATATAACCTACCTCGTTAGTTTGAGTAAATATATGGCGGAACAAGGTTTAGGAGAAATAACAAAAAGACAAAATTTATTAAGATCTACAAAGGACTGGAAATTGCGTAGAGCCATGATCCTGAAGAGATACGGCACATAAACGAAGAAAAGTCAATGTTTCACTACTATGACGTTGTGCTAGACAAGGATTTACTTAGAATATCTCTCAAAGAGTCCATGTCTCCGAGCTATGCTTAACAATCAAGTCACACGAGTTATTGTCAGTGAGTTTCTAGGATTCTTTTTTTTTTTCAAAATTGGCCTTGTACAAATGAAACTTACATCTCTCCAAGCGGATACGATCGGAATGAGGTTGAGTCGCTACAATGTGCGTAGCATGGTGGGTCTTAGCCGTAAAGGCCAGAACTGGTGGAACCAAGGAATATAGTTGGACTGAACACTTTCCATGGAAATAATTCGTCACCCACAAGGACGCGGAGATGCTTTTGGACTCTATCGAGACTAGAAAGTTAGGACTGGGCAGCTCCTTCTCATATATGTTAGCAGTACTTCTTTTTCGGTCTCTCTCTCTCTCTCTCTCTCTCTCTCTCTAAAAGGCGAAAGTATAGCAAGAAGAGTCGGGTACTTACTGGAGCGATGCAGAGAACTGACCATTTATCCAACTTCTTTAGCGATGGATCGTATGTACGAATTTCACTTGAGGTCAGAGTTGAGTTTAAGTATCAATAGGCGCTCAAGGCACAGGGCCACTCTAAGAGAACATCCGTTCATCGCGAGAAGCCAACATTCAGAGTCCGCTCGCTGACAACTTACACTTCTTTCAGTTAAATTGTATACTCCATCATAAAAACCTATTCTAGTTTCAATTGGCATTAAATCTTTGAATGTCAATGGTAAAATTAACCGTTTCCATACAGAAAACATTCGGCATTCATTTTCTGAAGAGTTAGCCTTACTGTCAGTTGAAATTTATAAAAACATTTCCGAGACGGCTTTTCAGAAAATAAATTTAAATTACATTGGCATTGTTATTTCTAGTAAATACGGGAGGTTACATCCTAACTTTTGGTTTTATGTAGTGTGTATAGTTAACATAATGATTATATAATGATTTACATTTCTAGTTACATCTGCTAGCGATGCTATTTGTTGATACGTTGCTCTTGGAAGTTTTCTGTTGATGTGTTTTTTTTTTGTTTTTTTGTTTTTTGTTATTTGCTATAGATGTTTGTTATTCTTTTTTTTACCCCCAGACTGTCGTTTTTTTTATAAAGTATTGTCCTCTTTAAGACGTAAAGTATTCATTCGCTTGAAGCCATTTTTAATCATTGACCTGCGAAAATGGTTTTATATCGCTGATAGTTTAAACATTTCGACGCGACTTATGACATCAGTTTAACATCCTAGATCTGACGAGGCTATATATGCTCATGGCTTGAATTTCCATGCTAATATAATTGGTTTTGTCGCCCCTTACGGTAATTGACAAAAGTACCGCTAGCGAAAACCTGTGTTCAATTTCCTTACGTATGGATCAGTTATAAGAAAACTGATCCATACACCGAGGTATTTGAAGTGTTTACTATTTATTAATTTCGCACTGGGGTCTACGGGGTGTATCGTCAGTGGTAGTATCTTTGCAGTGAAGCGGTTCACACTGCTTTACTTAGGTGAATTGGGATGCGGAACTATACTGGTCCACGGCCTACACCCAACTCTCACAAATTGCTCCAAGAAGTCGCATGGGCACTGCGACGGCCACACCCTGTTCAACAGCATGACCTGTCATCTAAATTGTGTGAGAGTAGCCGGAAGAGTTTCCAGACCCGACCGTTGAATGGGGACGCTTTTCCTCAACGCACTTTTGCCAAGCGGCCATCTGCCAGGAGCTGCGCCCCAGAGGTCAATGGCTTTACCAGTGAGCACTGGAAATTTTGAGAAGAGAGACAGGGTAACCTCAACATACCCGGTACAAAAGGAACCGGTAAGCCGTTCTAATATTTTAGCTTGAATGTTACCATGAACCAAAATTACAAGGGGGAGTGGTAACCACGGCGGCGCAAAATGCGCTAACTGAATAAACGATGTTGATGAATTCCATATTCTGAAATGTTATGATTGATTCAATGTATGTGCTACTACTACATTCTTTCCAGTTCCAGATTATAATTTCTGTTTTGGAAAGGTTTATCTTAAGTCATAATTCTAGCTACACAATTCTGATTCTTTTTCATAAGATCATTCTTATAGCAACAATGAACCCCTACGTCACCAGCATAACAACCCTCATCGTCAGTACACTATCCTCTGGAGGGAAAACAATCTATTATTTTATTCTCTCTTGCTCATGCTACATTTGAAGACCTCATTTCACAGACTTTATCGCTGGTCATAAAAAAACGCGAAACACTTAAGACCGAGTTAAAATCAATCAGCATCTCCTCCTAGCACCCTCCCCAGTGATAGTGTAACAAAAAATCCATTTTTAATCGCCAGTGTTTATCTTGACCAATAATATTTTTCTCTCTCGAGCAAAAGAGAAATGCAACTGATTAAACGGTAAGTGGTGTTATTTTCTATAAGTTAAGCTGAAACCTATATTTGTAGCTTAAAATTTCTTCCGATAGGTAAAAAGAATTACAAACGACAGCTGACTTATTGCACAACCAATAAGAAGTTTATTAAGATTTACAGACATTACTAAAAATTCTCTAATACCCAATATGGCGTGGGGAATCGTTCTGTCAACCTTAGGCTTACAGTCATATCACGATAAAATACTGGTTCTTGTAGAATTACCAAAGTTAAGTAACGTCGAGCGTGGTCAGTACCTAGATGGGTGACCGCTTCGTAATATCGGGTGCTGTAAGCGGATGATGTAACGGCTCGGAATTGTTAATCAGAGAGCCGAGTTTCAATTCCATTTGGGTTCGTTATATTCATTTACAAAAGGCATGAATCCGCCTTTTTTCCGCCAAGCTATGGGTTAATTAGTAAGATTACTAGATCATTATTATCTCCTCTCAAAATTCTTTTAATTTAAAACTATTTTCTGGCGTGAAATAACCTGTAAAAGATTGATAAGCCGTAAAAAACAAATCAATCAAATCAAATCTGTCAACCTAGCACTTAGATAAGCAAAGCAAATAATATTTTAATCGTTGACTACACGAGCACCATATTACTGGAAATTTTGACTAACATAATAATTTGTAAGTCTGTTTACTAGTTTCTTAAATCTTACTAATCAAAACTATGGCCAAAACAATTTTAAAGCATTTTAGTTAATATACACCCATTCACACATCAACAGGATCTTCTTAAAATGTTTTCTTTTATTGCGTGTTACTTCTAAGCTTCGCTACCATTTATAAATTCAGAAAATATTATTCTTTTTTTTCTTCAGTATATCGAGTAATGAATTATTTATGAGTGTTATTTGCATACAATTTACATACACGCACGCGGAAGCACGCATGTGGACTTACGCACACACGCACAAACACACAAACAAACACATACACACACATATATATAGATAGATAAAGAGAGAGAAAGAGAGAGACATAGAGAGACAGAGAGAGAGAGAGAGAGATCGAAGTGACAATACGTATACAAGATATCAGCCGAAATGATGAAAGAGAATTGACCCGGGGAGAATTATTGCTTTCTTGTCACGTAATTAGTGCTTGAAATTTGTTAAGTAAACAAGAATCTCAAAATGATTTGAAACCGTCGAGAATTGCAGATGATTGTATCATTAGTTCGACTCAAATCGAAAACGATAAAGTCGGTAAAGTGATTTTTATTAAATAATCTCTTGTCTCCCACCAATTGGATGAAAAGCCACTTATTCCCACAAAAAAAAGTAACTGGGTCCGAAGTGTTGGTGCAGTATGGCGATTTTCTAAACATGGCTTAGACGTGGAACCAGGCCGAAGGTATGGGCACTTAGTGAGGATCGAACTCATTATTCAGCCGTAATTGATCAAGGTTGGTTGGTTGTTTTGTTTTATGGCATATAAAAACCTCAGTGAGTCATTTAATGCCAACAGATTTTTTTAAATAGATTCATAGCGATAGTTCGGAAAAAAAGGTGGGTATGTATACATATATATTTGAACCATTTTTCAATTAATCATATTTTTTAGTACAATTCAACTTCTTAAGAATATATAGTTGTTTGTATTACTAGTATTTT